CTATCTTGTTAGTTTTTTTAATTGTTATTGAAATAAAATTAATGATGAGGTTATTATGATCTTATATATATGATCCATATTATCAATTAAACAAAGGTACATATATATATAGACTATAGTATTCTATTTTGATTGATAAAATGAGATTAAGAAGAAAAATGCCTACTTATTTCTTAGTTGAAGTAAATCTAAAAGAAAAAACAAGAATAAAAGTTCTTAAAAAGTAAATTTTTTATTAGGAATAAAATGTGTTTAAAATATATATATATTAGGAAAAGGATATTTTCGACCCATTAAAGAATAATAGAAGCAGTTTTAGACCATATTATTGATGACAAAGACAATTTAAAACCAAACTATTAACTTGGATAATTTTTCTTCAATTTTACATAGTTCAAAAGCATTTTAAACTCTTTTCCATAATTAAAAACACAACTAAGCATCAATGGTCTAGTGGTAGAAATGTTCATATCATAGTAAAGATAGGAGTTCAACCCAAATGGTGCATTTTATCGGCTTCTTACGTAACTCTACAAGTGACGAATTTTTTTCCAATAAACCTAGTTAGAAAAAAGTCAGAAAAGTAATTCTTCATGTGGGTTATTGTATATGTAGAAAGACACGTGTACAATTAATGAGGCACAATTAATTTTATAGTACAATTTGAAATGTTTTGTGTACAACTTGGTAGTGCCGTGTTCGTCCTCTAAAGTCTCACTTCTAATAAGATGTAAAATGAGTAATAATAATAATTCTAATAAGGAGTAATGAGTAATAATAATAATTCTAATAAGGAGTAATGAGTAATAATAATAATTCTAATAAGGAGTAATGAGTAATAATAATAATTCTAATAAGGAGTAATGAGTAATAATAATAATTCTAATAAGGAGTAATGAGTAATAATAATAATTCTAATAAGGAGTAATGAGTAATAATAATAATTCTAATAAGGAGTAATGAGTAATAATAATAATTCTAATAAGGAGTAATGAGTAATAATAATAATTCTAATGTTAGTCCTTGTAATTGTCATTTATAAATGTTAATGTACAATTCTTTTTGCACGTTGTACAACTAATTTAATGCAGTCAAAAGTTAATGTACAAAATTCTATGCATGTTGTACAACTAATTTAATGCAGTGTTAGTCCTTCAAAGTCTCATTTCTAAATAAGAGTAATATATATATATATTCATATACACTGTTTATACATTGCAATAATTCATTTTTCAAAACGAGCTGATTTTTTTCAATCCTGATACTCAAATCTTCTCTAAATAGTTCCAAATTCTAAATATTTGCTCCTCTTGATATTTTGAGTCTTGATATATTGACTCGAAATGATTCACTTTTACAGCAGGTCAAATTTTAAAAATTAAATTACTTCTCAATATAAATATATAACATTGTTTTAATTTTTTCCATTGCCTTTTATGAATAGGTCTGGAGTACGAGTGTCTGTTATTGGTTGTAAATCCAACCTTCCACTCACATTACAAAAATGCATAGCATTAACAGAAGAGACTACAAAGGGCAACAAAGGACTTCATCTTGTGATTGCACTAAACTATGGTGGATATTATGACATATTGCAAGCAACAAAAAGCATTGCCAATAAAGTAATGAATGGTTTATTACATGTAGAAGATATCAACAAGAATTTATTTGAGCAAGAACTTGAAAGCAAGTGTCCAAATCCTGATTTACTTATAAGGACAGGAGGTGAACAAAGAGTTAGTAACTTCTTGTTGTGGCAATTAGCTTATACTGAATTCTACTTCACCAACACATTGTTTCCTGATTTTGGAGAGAAAGATCTTAAGGAGGCAATACTTAACTTTCAACAAAGGCATAGACGTTTTGGTGGACACACATATTGAGGAAGGAAAAAAGGTTTCTAGTATCTCTTGTTTTATGTGTTTTTTCTAAAATAATATATGTCGATATGTTAAATCTATTATGTATCGATTTGTTAGCTGAAAGAATAAACTTATCTACTTTGACTAAGACGTCAAATAGTATTCTCATCGGGATCAATCTGCCATCAATAACCTTATTGGAGTAGATTTAGGATTCTCAAGAAGTCGATTACTTGGGACATCAAGTTTAAACTCACTCCTAGATCAGACAAAGCTTTTATCAAATTTACTAGCTTTACCTACCAAACAACCCTAATTGCATATGTTTGACACCACATTACAATCCCACACTTATAGACTCTTATTCGTCCTCGAGCAAGCATTAACCAATCTCAATAAATCAAATATAGGAAACATTTCTACTTTAGTTGATACCAATAAAAGTTAGGCCCGGTAGCAATTCACAATGTCAAGTACATTTATTGATCATTATGCAAGATGTTAACTCAATCAAACAATAAATTTTTAACCTCCTAACCTTATAGACAGATTCTAACTCATTAAATTTAAATTCACTCACATATTCTGTCAAAGAAAGCTAATCATCTCACCTATCTATCACCAGGAAACAAGTGTCCTCCCAAGAAAAACTAGTCCATACACTCAAAATAAATAATAATTGATAATTAAGATATTTACAGGGCACGACTTTTAAAAAACTAGTTTGACAATCCTAAATCCGAAAGACGCATGCTACATAAATTGGAACAGAGGAAGTAATTCTAAGAAGACCAATCCTTGTTAGTCATATGGTGAAGCAATCAAGTACAAAATGGTAGAGTAATCTAGCCAGTGTAAGCTCAATGCTTGCTGCACCAAATAACATCCCTAGACAAATTCTTTTTCCAAATCCAAATGCCAAAAACTCCATAGGAAGATTTTATGATCCTTTGATTTTCACATGATCATCGTTATCGACATAATTGTTGAATTGATTAGGTAAAATTTCTCCGAATCGCCCCAATATTCGGGGTCCCTTCCCATTGTGTGCATGCATATTCATTATTGTTGATTCTCTTAGTAAGGACAATGGATCAGTAGGACGCAGGACACTTGATTATTTCGATCCTAATAAGAACGGAAGGTTTAGAGTTTCTTTAACAACCAATTTCAAATACTTCAAATTATTCTTAATAACAATATGATCAATTATTGTTTTTCCCACCTGTCAAAGTCTATTTGGGTTTTTTTCATCAAGGCCCATTCAATTATAGTTGAAGTTTGAGTCACTTCCGGCAATGAACATATCCTGTTTAGGATGTAAAAATTATACAGTATATATTAGCTAGTTTTAAATATATACTAATAAGGTAATTAGTTTACCACATATATATTCATGTTTTTATTTACATAAGAAAAAAGTCAAAAGTCATAGAAATTATACGTTGTCTATACATTATGATACACTCCAGAAACAGAATATACCATTATACCCTTTAAAGTCCATGCTTTCCTCGATCTCTACATAAATGTATGAATACTTTGTGTATCGGACTTTCCTTTTATTAATGAATTTGAGTAATTGTAATTTCTTACAGTAACAACCTTTCATTTTAGGAAGGAATTAGTAAAATTAGATATACATGAATATTCATTGAATTGACTAATAAACCAGTGAGATCACAATCAATTGTTTTTCTTTTTCTTTGTTTTACTTTCCCAATTGGAGAGAGAATCTAACTTGAAGGAGATGAAATGACTCGAAAATATCTGTCTTTTTATTTTTTTGATTTAAAAATATTCTTCATTTTTGTTTTTGATTAAAAAATATCTCTTCTTTAGCCTTTTAATCGAAAAATATCATAGAGAAACTTTTTTTATAGACAAATCATAACTTGGAATATTAACAACTATTCCTTTGATATGGCTCAAGCATCTGTCAATAGTGGGAATTGAGTTCCCTACTTTATTCGTTTACTTTTACTAATCATATTTACACTTGATACGTTTATTGAAAATATACTTACTCTGTTCATTTTTAATTGTTATCATTTTCTTTAGAGTCAAACTATAAGAACTTTGACAAATATTTTATAATGTATTTTTTCGTCATATTGATATGCAAAAATTTGCAATTTATAGTACTTTTCGTATAGTTTTTGAATATTTAATTAGTAATCTAATTTAACTTTGAAAATTAGTCAAATTGACTTTCGAAAAGCGCAACATGACAATTAAAAGTGAAATTTGACTAACTTTCAAAGTGAATCAGATTACATTATTTCGATATTTTAAATAAAAAATTAGATATTCAAAAACTATACGAAAAGTACTATAAATTGCACTCCCTCCGTTTCACAAAGAATGACATTCTTTCCTTTTTAGTCAATTTAAAAAAGAATGACCTCTTTCCTTTTTTGGTAACATTTTACTTTTTGCTTTCCACGTGGCATGTTTAAGACCACAAGTTTAAGGGTAATTTTGTACATTTGACATAACTTTAATTTAGGATCACAAGATTCAAAAGTCTATTTTATTTACTTAAACTTTGTGTCAAGTCAAACCAGATCATTCTTTATGAAACGAAGGGAATAATTTTTTGCATATCAATATGGTGACAAAGCACATTATAAAATGTTAGTCAAAATATTTACTCCCTCCGTCCCATTTTATGTGGCAACATTTCCTTTTTGGTCAGTCCCAAAAAGAATGTCACATTTCCTTATTTGGTAAGTATTTAAAGGTACAATTCCTCTTTTATCCTTGTTGGTCCCACTTATTCTTGAAAAGAGTACTCCAATACATTTATTAGGAGAGAGAAAAATAAGTCTATTTTTTTAAGGGCAATTTGGTAAACATTTCAAAGTCTTTATCTATTTCTTAAACTCCGTGCCCGGTCAAATGTTGCCACATAAAATGGGACGGAGGGAGTAATATTTAACTCTAAAAAAAGAAATCATGAAAATGAAAAGTGGACAGGAGATAGTATGTCACAATTTTAAACCCTTTTTCTCCCTCTCGATTTTTTCCAAATTTTGCCCAAAAAATCTATCTTCCCTCCACGTGTCTTCATATTATTCGTTCGTTTTATCTATAAATAAGATCTTTTCTTCCTTTAGCCATAACTCTGGTCTCTGCCCTTTGCTCAGTTAACTTTTTTGCGGCCGCCTCTTATTCGCTTGGTGCAGGTCGGGACCTCATTCGCCGGCGCCGGAAATAATGACGGACGACGGCGGTGTTAATTCTACTAAGTTGTCAACGACGAATATATTTTGATTAGCGGCGAAATTTGGGTCCTGCCTTGCATCAACTGAATTGGAGACAGCTGTGAATTGAAGATTTCGGATTGATTTCAGCTAATTTAGGTTCGGTTTAGATCGATCTAGTATTGGTGATTTGCTTCGACTCAGGTTTAATTTGTTCGATTTGATTCGGATTATTAACTATGTTTGTGTGTGTGTATATGTGGATGAATTTTGTAATTTGTATTTCCGATTGGATTTGCCTGGATCTGACTTTGTAGATTGGTGAGCATGTGATTCAATTGCTAGATCTTGTTTTTATATAGACTCACACACATACATGAATATAGTTACTTGTTTACTTTTCGAGAGTTAAATTATGGGGATTTTGACTAATATTTTTTGAAGAATGTTATGGAAAAGTATTACAATTTATAGTATTTTTAGTATAGTTGTCAAACTTTGGAATTTAGAACTTAGAATATTGAATTAATCTAATTCGATATAGCTCTGAAAATTAGTAAAATTGACTCTTCTGAAGCAAAACATTTATAAGTAGAAGTGAGCGGAGGGAGTAGTTCACGGGACATAGGAGGTTTCCATTAGTTGAGTAGTGAATGCTGGAAGTGAGATTTGTGTATTGTGATGCCAATAATGAATTATCGATGTTTGATTTAGATTGCAGTTAGAGATACAATTTATTTTATCCTTTTTATGTGATTCAAGTTCTAGTTATAGTTGGGATCTTTAATCATAAGATTTTCTGAAGTGTTTATTTTTTCAACTCCTGGTCAATCATGGTTGTATGAAATGAACAGGGGAGGATCATGTTTGTTGATTTACTGATTTTATTAGACGAAGAAGCATGTAAGATAATCTTTCTAACCTCCAAGCTGTTACTGATGCTTTATGCGATTTACTGATGCCTAGTTACATATATTTGATGGATTAAGTGCCAAAATGTTAAAGGTTTTGTCTTTGATTTTTGTGATCACTTTTATATATATAGAAACTCTTTTACTGTAACACGTTCCAAGTCTTTCTTTTATGAAATGAACTGGGAAAAATCATATTTGGTGATTTGACATGAAGAAGCATGTAAGATAACTCTTCCTCGTTAAATTATCAATGTCCACCCTCCAATATTTTACGGAAAACTTTTGTGATTTAATTCCACACTGTTGCATATATTTGATAGACTGCGAGGCAAAATTATAAAGATTTGAGCTTTGGTTTCTTGTGAACACTTTTACATATCTAGAAACGTTTGCTCATAACACCCTCCAAGATTTTACTGATGCCTTACTGTTACACATATCTGATAGATTGATCAGCAAATTTATAAAGATTTGTTCTTTGAGTTCTGGTGATACTGTTAGCATCAAGTTTAGAAGATTTAATGTATCTGTGATTGAATGTGGATTTTACGAGAAAATTAATTAAAAACTTCTGCTTTCCTAACACTCATTTCTCTTTTGGGATTGCAGCAATTTTCATGAAACTAATGCCTAAATGATGTTTTGGATACTGTTGAGCTTAGGTCATTTGCCAGGTTTTATACTCTAATTGGTCATAGAGTTCACTGACTAGACCAGCTATGATGCTGTGAAACTGGGATGGAGCTTCGGAAAAAGATTATAGTTTGTATTTAAACCTATTTTGCTTGGACTCTCCAAAAATGTTGCTGCATCTGTTTCAAATCCTCTGAAAAAGCAGTACCTTTGGAGGACACACACCCATTGGCATTTTGGAGAGTCCAAGAAAAATGGATTTGATTTAGGTGGAGAATCATGGTCATAAAGAAAATCAAAGATACATCTTATCAAAATGACTGACCAACAGGTTTTCTTTTCACTTGGTTTCAGTGCCCGATTCTGATTTCTCAAGACTGAAAATGGTACTGGCATAAGGTAGATTTTTAGGGTGGAAATTTTTTGGCCTTGTAATATTTGAATTGAATTTGATTAAGGGTTGGTAGATGTTTCAGGCTAATAATGATATCTTACTACAATTCACTCTCATCACCTAATACTACTAGTGATTGTCACTACAGCTCCGTTCAACTTCAAATGCAGCTATGCCATCAGAGGAAGGAGATGAGAGTGTCCATGGTAGCTTGCCAATTCTTAATGTTGGTACCCTCTGCTATGTATGTGGATGGCAAACTCCTCGCATACTCTTGTCTTCTATGAATCTACCAGTCTGGGATCTAATCTGATTGCGTTCCCTCTAGATAATGGCAACTAACATTGCAAATAAGCAGATTTCTTAAGCTATTAATTAAGCATGTAATATTGTCATTCTGCAGATTTTGTCTGCAAAATCACCACCAAATGAAAATGGATGTTATGCGTGGCTACTCTGTTGTGGGATTTGAGCTACACTTGGTCTTATGCTATGTACATTTACTAGTTTTATTTTATAGTGCAGAACCATGCATATCATATAAAAATGTTCCCACAGAAAAAAAACATCTGTTTTTCTTACAGCCAGTTCTATTATCTTTTTCTATACATAGTATGTTATTGATTATGATTCTCATGCAATAAGGGCTCTGCATATAGAGTTGGTTCCTACTTGCTATTTGTCTATTCAGTTTTCCCTTTTGCCCCAACTATTAAAATGTTTCTCATTATTCTCTCTAAATTTTTTAGTGGGTATTTGAGCATAAAACATGTCAAATTTGAATCTGTTTCAATTCGTTTGTCTCACTTCTCTTTAGGTCTGTTCTTCTTGTTCCTTTCTCGTAGGCTTTGCACTATTTAGTTTTTATGATTTCTACACTTTTTTCTTCTTTTTTGTACTTGAATTTGTTGTACTTGAGCTGAGAGTCTTTCGTAAATAGTATCTCTACCTCCACAAGATAGTGGTAAGGTCTGCGTACACTCTATCCTCCCCAAACCCCACTTGTGGGATCTCACTGAGTATATTATTATTGTTGTACTTCCTCTTTAGTCCGTTTTAAAAAAATGATTGGACATGAATACAACTTGGAAAAATGTTGAATTATTAAGAATTATTTGAAGTGAAAATGTGAAAACGGATATTTGGGAGTTTTTTAAATTCCGAAAATTCTATGTCCAAACATGATTCCCTGGAATACAATTCCGGAAAAAAGTGAAAATTATCCATGGTCAAACAGGCAACTGTTTGGTCTTTGTTGAATGTATGTAAAGCAGGGAATCTTTTATGGTGCTGCATGTTTTGTATTTGTTCTGTGAAAATAGATATATCCTCTTGGACTGATGTAGGCAGGAATGGGAATATGTTGCTGCTGGCAAGATTTCAAGGATATAAAACCACTGCCAAGTATGGACAATAGGTAAACTTTTAAATTTATGAAAATTCTTTAAATGTTAGCCTATCCATGTAATTATTATATCCATTCATTTCTCAACAAACATTTTTGACCAAAGTTGAATAAAGGAAAACTTAGGTTACATAAATGTGAAAATAAGAGAAGTAAGCGTAATATCTGAAAATACAAGGAAAGTTAGTGTTATAAGGCTAAACTTGAGAGGAGGTCTGAAATCATTCTTTTTTTAATTATTTTAGAAAGTCACTTTTCTTCTTGATGTTGTAATTTTTTTCAAACAAAAAAGTAATTTTCGAAGATAATAACTATATTTGAGAAATCAACTCCAAAAGCAAAGATAAAGTAGTTTTAGAAGTAATGTTATCTTGTAAGATCGCACATCAGTAAGGAATCAGTCCCACCATCATGGTACAATATTGCACAAGACACTCATTTCAGAACTTTGTAACACATTGATGTGAGAAAACATTTTCCACTTTCCGACCAAATACCATAAAATAAAAAGGACAGTTTGATGCACAAAATATCTCATGTTTTTAGATAAGATTCGGAGAGGGCCACACCCAAAAAGTGTGTGATGTAGAGAGCTTACTCTAATATGAGCATTACACAAATGATTAGCATAGTTGGGATGGACATGTGGTAAATAAGATTGATTCAATTAATATTATTGGGCCAAATAAAATATTGGAGAGTTTTATTTAGGATTCAGACCGAATAAACTATTGTTAAAAGGGAAAAGGCTCAAATATGTCATCTAACTTTGACAAAAGGCTCATTTATGTCATTTGTTAATAGCTTGACTCATTCATGTCATTATTTGTTAACTCAAAATAGCATAAATGAGCTAAACTTTTAACGGATGTTGCATAGATGAGCTTTTTCTCAAAGTTCAATGACATATTTGAACCTTTTCCCTTTTAAAAAATGATTTAATTAATGACATGACCGAATCATAATTGACCAAGAATTTGCAAAACGGAAACAATTTAAATAATGGCATGGCTGGACCTTTACTCAAATAGAAATGACAGAGATGAACCAAACTTTTAACGGATGGTATAGGTAAGCCTTTTCTCAAAGTTTGATGGCTTATTTGAGTCTTTTTCCTCGTTAAAAAGGACTAGGGATTACAATTATACAATTATGTCTAAGTTTTGGCTATATGTTATCTCTTCTCTCATGATCTCTCTTCTATGTTCTAGTATTTCATCTCCTTCGATTATCTTCTTGTTATGTTATTCTCTCCTTGATTAGTGTTATTATTACCTTGTTATTCGAATTCTAAGTTATAATTCGAGTTCAATGACGATAAATTTATGTGTTTGTGTTGAAATTTCTAAGGTATTGCAAGCTATTGAATCATACTGCAGAAGTTTCAACTGATTTGGGACCAATATTATCACCAAAAGGGCTCAAATTTCTTGGGAAAAATATGTAAATGACTTCTAAGAAGGGGTTGGCATGGTAGGGAAATCTGCATTTTTAATATTCCATATTATGATATTTGATATGCATTTTTAAAAAGTTTTGTATTTGCTATGATATTTGACATTTATAAAAAATATCAAAATATCGAATATCTTACCAAAATATATAGTTACATATAAATTCACATATATGTAATTATATAAAACTAGTAACTAATTAATTACATGTTAAACTTTTGGTATGATAATTTTCAAAAATCGTAAATCAAAATTATCGAACCAAGCTTTTCAATCCTATACCATATCATACCATGTCCACCTCACTCCTAAGTCAATAGGGGGACTACTAATTTAAGAGATTGTTGGTTGGAACAAGTTATTTTGAAATTAATTGTTTCAGAATAAGTTATTATGAAATAAGTTATTCCACCATGTATATTGGATACTTTATCCCATCACTAAGGCATAAAGGATAGGATAAATAATTTTATGACCGTCAATACCTCCAACCAAATACTCCCTTTGTCCCTAATTACTTGTCCACTTTTGAATTGACACACCTATTAAGAAAACAATGATTGACATAGTGAGTTCACCATTTTACCCCTATTAATTATGAATGGGATGAATTAAAAAACTTAAGATTTTCAAAAAGTTCTACCTTTTTTAAAGTAACTAATTGAGGTATAATATGTTAAAAAATTGTCCTTTCTTGATTTGTCAAAATGGACAAGTAATTAGGGACAACTAAAAAAGGAAAAGTGGATAAGTAATTAGGGACAAAGGAAGTACAAAATTAAAATAATTCTATATTATATCCCGGATGATTCCTAAGAATTTGGAAATAAGGAAAAAAAAAACTTTGGATTCATTGAGTATTACTCTCTCTGTCCCTAATTACTTATCCACTTTTGAATTGACACACCTATTAAGAAAATAATTAATGTACATAGTGAGTTTACTATTTTACCCCTATTAATTATTAAGTGGATGAAAAGTTTTACATTTTTCAAAATAATCTTGGGCAGAATTTAGGGTTCCAATGCAAGTTTGATGTTAGAGTTTTAACATTATAGAAGACATAATTTTTTGGAGATTGGGCTGGGTGTGTTGTCTAGCTTGCTGTGTAAATAAATATGTTAGTTAGTGATTAATGGAAAACAATAATTACCAAAAAAAATAAACATATATTACGCCTTCTATCTCATATTATATATATCTATCATGTTTCTCTTTATAGGTCTATATTAAGAAAAAATATTAATTAGGAATTTTTTCTAAAATTATTTTGTCCTTATTTATGTCATAAGATACCATCTCAATTCATTAAATATTTATTTAATTGAGGTAATTGTAGTTTTCAAGAACAATTACTCCCTCCGTTCCATTTTATACGTCACATTTTTACTTTGCACTTGCATTAAGAAATGATGTAACTTTACCCTTCTACCCTTATTTAATGTTTTCTTAAGTCAACTTTATTAGTAAATGACAAGATTAATTAACTATTCTATCAAGGGTATAATAGGTAAAATATGATAATTTATGCATAAATTTTATAAAATGACAAGTATTGTGGTCCAACTATTTATAGAAAGGAATGACATATAAAATGGGACGAAGGGAGTACAATTTAAGATAAAATGAAAATAATAATAATTAATTTTGTCCATTGATTGAAAACTTGACTTTGAGAGAACACTAAATGAGGGTACAAAGATAAATTTATCTAGTTTCTTAAGAAATATAAAATCTAAAATGATGACAACTAAATAAAAACGAGGGAGTATAACAAAAATACAAAGGTAGTACATATTTCATAGCTTGTTAGATTATATACGGCTTGCGGCCCATCACTACTCATAGCAGGGACGAATTTATGCTAATAGGTTTTGTTTGGTACGAGGAACAAGGAATAATTAATTTCGAAATTAATGTTAGGATGATTTTATTGCATATTTTGTAGAAAAATAATTGTAGGATAACTTATTTCGATATTAATGTAACGATGAGTTTATTTCATGTTTCGTAGAAATAAAATTACGGGATAACTTATTTCGAGATTAGTTATTCGAGAATTGTAGTGTTATTGTTATCTCACATTGAAAATGGGATAACAATCCTAGTCTCCTAGAACAACTAATCCCAAAATATATTGTTCTCATAAATGGTACGCAGATACGCTCCATCATATTTTCGGGACATTGGTGCTTCTGCCGTCTAAAAACTAGAGCATATATGCCCTTCACTCTAATGAAAGACTAAATAGGGACACATGGCGCAATCTTATCTATCGATCCGATATTTAATAAATGTCGAGTCGATGCGTGGATATTAGATTATCACATGTGTATGTCCATTAGTATAAATGGTATATATGCTCTAGTTTTTGGACGACAGGGGCACCAATGTCCCAAAAGTATGACGAAGGGTATTTACATATTATTTATGATAGTTCAGAGATATATTTATCCTTTTTCCCTAATTTTAAACATGTTTAGGCGTTTGAATGAAACCTACAGACGCACAACATAGGTAGGTGTTTGAATGAAACCTCGACAAGTTGAATGGCTAAAATAATAAATCGATGCAAATACAAATATTTATTAAGCAGTTAGACTCTATATAAATAAGCATGCGCCATT